AGACAAAGTTATGTGAGACAAAAAAACATTTTGATTCAATTCAAGATGCAATTTCTCCTTGTGTTAGCGATCCCGCGCCGTTTTCAAAATAGATGTGCTTCTTTGATATGGGTCATCTTATAGCAAGTGCGTATGACATGGTGTGTATCAATCTGACAATATATGGATTCTCTTAGACATTTTTTCCACTTTGGGGTGGTCCACCTAAAGACCCTTTCGTACGCTTCACGTGTATAGGTTGACTTTCAAAATCGCTACATTTTATTGAGGTTTATTTGAAACTGGGGTGTCCAATACCAAGTACATTGATGGAGTGGACGACATATTCAACAAAAGAGGCAAAAACTTGGTCGGATCAATTTCTGGAGAGGAATGAAGAGTTCACCAAATCGAGTGAGCTTAAAAGAGAATCAAATCTGGAAAATTCGAAGGTCGGATCAATTGTAGATTTATGCGGTGATGGATCTTTTGATGCATTTTAGATTGTAATTGATACACTTTTTCGAATGTATTATCGTCAATGATGTAATCTTGATACGATTTAATACATAAGAAATATATAATCTCAACAATGATGGTGTAATTCTTGTTTAAAAGTTTGATGGTTTATATTGTATGTGCTTGTATATTAAGTTTCTGGTTTTCTTCTGGTTCAATATGTTTTCAAATATACATATCCGAATAAACCTCACATATTTATTAAAAAAAATCAATCAGTGACGCTTTTGGGTATTCATCTCCGAAGTCACCCTTTTAGTAAAAAAATATGGTTTATTCGGAGATACATATCCGAAAAGTTACCTGATGACATGATAAGATTTCTGAGGTCCAAAATGATCCAATACTTGTATAAATAGGAAGTCTTTCAACCCATTTTTTCTACACAACACACTAAAACCAGATAATGAATGTATATCGTCACCTTACATTTGTGTATTTCAATGACGAGAAGCTGCCACTTCTATTTAGGGTCACCGAGGAAACATCCCTCACAGATCTGATATCCAAACTGGATACTCTCTTGGACTTTTCAGAAAATCGCATAGTTGTCAAGCTTGAGTTTCATTCACTCTCGTTTGACATCGAAGGGAATATACATTTCACCAAATTTAAACTGAAGACAGATGGAGATTTAAAAGTTATGTGGAGTATTTTTCATCGTTATGAATCAAAGTGATTGAAGTAGATGTGAGGATTCAAAGATCCGTCAATGATGTAATCATTATATTGTAACGTCCCGTTCATAATAATATGTAATGTTAAATTTATTTTAATAACTATCTATATAATGTTGAATATTTTAATTTTATGTCAAGTTAATATTGGTGTTGGTTTTCAATTTGGTCATACAGTCATATTTCTAATTTTTATTTGATTTTTAGTATCGGATTGTTTTCAAATATACTTATCTGAAATATAAATTCGGAGGATACAAATACATAGTAAAAATTGGTTTCTAATTGCTATGTTGCATTTGGAGGATACAAATTACAACTGCAGCTACTAAAGCTTAAAAAACTGTCATGTATGGTGACTCAATTCAAGAGTGATATTCAGATGACAAGTCTAGTCTTCATTAGTAGAAATGTTTTTAAGAAGCAAAATGAGATAGGTTTTCAAATGAAAGAAATGACTCAATCCCATAGTTGCAAAAGCACTTTCCTCTAATTTTTGTTAAGACTTAATTAGTTACTTGATAATTAATGACAAAGTTATTAGAGCATACAATTTAAATGATGTGTAGTTTAAGCTTATAGATCGAAAATATTGAAACCAATAAATTGTAGAAAAGCAACATCAATCTGCAAATGAAATCGATTTTGAAACATTTTTGTTTCATTTTAAGCTGTCATACTTTGAAATGTAAATTCTTGTAAAAAAAATCATTCAAAAATTCTAGCAAAAGGATTGGAAGACAGAATGTACAAAAAGGATCTGTTGATGTCCTGTTGTCAAATGATAGGGACATGTCCTTCAAGAACATCTGTCCCAAATGTTAGATAGCAGAAAATAAGGGTTTGTTAAAATTCTGTTTAGCAATAGCATTATAGTGGCTATTTGCATAAACGATAGTCATTTGTTATAATTCTGCTATACAATAGCTATCGCAGCTATTTCACATTTTGTACTACTAAATAGCGTATCACAAAAATCACAAAAAACAATAGGAATTTGTCCAAATTCTGCTACTCTGTTGCCAGTATAGCTCCACTATAGTATAGCTCCACTGTACCAGCTTTTTAACAACATTTGATTTCAAGGGACACTAGCACCATAGTAGATCGGGGTGTGCAAAAAAACTGGTTTACACTAACCAATTTTAAAAATTCAGTGCATCAATCCAATTTGTGTTGGATGTGAACCGCTCCAGATCCATTTTGATATCAAAACAAAAATCTGGTTTCCATTTTTGATAACCAGTTGTCATACATAAAACCAAATTATTAAGGCACAGGAAATTCAAATTCGTGTAAACCAATTTATATAATATTCAAATTGAAAATGGAAAACTAGTTTATATATTTTATTTTATTTATTATTAATTAGAGTGGTGATTAGTTAAGGAAAGAAGAACTTATTAAGTTAATTATGATGAACGATTGTTAATCTGTGTTTTTTTATTTAACTATTATAGTGTAGCAATTGTTTTAATTTTAGTGTTCTGGTGCAACTTTATCATAGATTAAAGTATAATATTTTTACTCTTAAATTGAATTTTACTTTTTTGCTTTTCAAAAAAATTGTGAAAAACGATTTGCTGGTGTTTGAATATAAATTAAGAAAGATACAATTTCCTTATAAATCAATTTTGATTGAAAACCAGTTTAAACCGATTTTGAACCGAATTAAAACCATTTTACAATTTTAAATTGGTTACTATAAAAAATAGTTTAGTTTTAAAACTACAACCATTAAAATGGATTGGTTCTTAAAATTTGATAACCATGCACACCCTTAATAATACACCCTTAATAATAGTAGATCATGCAAACAGAGCAACTAAACTAAATAGATAGGAGGATCACAACAGAAAGAAATTTATCCCCTTTTAATCCCATACACAAAAAGCAAACCTTCGTTTACTGTGTAGCTTTCACATATCTATCTTCCATTCAAACTTCCAATATCGATGATACCTCCTCTCTAATACAGCTTACGTATATACTATCAATTGCCATAGTGTCCTCTTTTTTCCAATTTTCTGTACTCTTGCTGAAGGTGTGGATATGGATTGGGATTGGTTTAAAAGATGGTTGGTTGGGATCACAAGTTGCTTTATATAATATTCAGCATCCATCAATACCACTATGTATGTTGAAACACAAAATTGCTCAAAGAATTAAAAAGCAACAGAAATTATATATCATCATAGAGATCACATGTCAACTTCACCATATTCAACTAAAAGAAACAATTGATTAGAGCATATGTATATCATAATGATTACGTCATATTTCATACAAGAAAATATGGAAATTTAATTGTTGAGATCTACTCTGCTTCCTTGGAACAGCTGGAGAGCATCGTTTAAACAATTTATTCTCTTCACAAACACGCTGATTAAACAACCTACATTTGGAAACATAAGAGTTAGGAACTGATTGATAACTCTATACATAAAGAAAATCAAACATGGAGCACAAAGCACTTGCCAGTGTCTTCTGTAAAATAAAAGCTCATGGACATGCTTCTCAAATTATCCTAATATTGTCCCTTTAGATATCCGATAATGGCAAAAAAATATATCTAAAATTCTATAATTTCTCTACTACCCATGGATCCAAGTTGTTGCAGACATCAAACACAACCAAAAGAAATTAACTTCTTTATCTTATAGGTATCTTCACCAAATAGTTTAAGATTTTGATATAGTCAATTTATATGGCATCAGAATCCTCCCTGATTATTATATGGTCTAGAGATTGGTTCTTGCTGTCCCAATTTCTCTATTGAGAAGCTAAACCTCAGCACAAAAATAAATGGAAACATGCATTGTCCACACTTAAAGCTCAAAAGGCTCTGACATAAATGAGTGTGTTATATAGAACTCATTTCGGATAACTTTTAATTGTGCACTTAGATTGAAAAGGTTTTACATTTATGCAATGACTGTGAGTAGGGAGTGTTCAATTACCCGTAACTCATCCATAAACAAGACAGCATACATTTTTGAAAACCTAGAACAATTTAATAAAAAAAACAAACTAGGTTGTATAAGACCTAAACCCAAAATCTGGTACCATTTTGTGGTTAAGGTTTTTTGTGGTTAAGGTTTTGTTACCGGTTTCAAAACACTCAGATACCCTTTCTCTGTCACTGCATCTGGCTTTTCTTCTTTCTTCTAACTTTCTTCACCATAGTCGTCATCCGGCTCTTCTTCTTTCTTCTAACTTTCTTCACCATAATCGTCACTCTAACTGCCTCCATCTGCTCTTCCACTGCAAATTTCACCTCTCCTCTTCCACCACTTAATCTAAAACCCTCATCCTCCAATTGACCAATTCTACCACCAAAGCCATATCTTTTACAAAGATCAACGCCATAGCATCCACTCTTCACCTTACAAGTTACATCTCGCCCAAAATCCCCTCATCTCTGGTCTCACCGAAAGAGTGAATTGGATCATCTCTACATAAGCTTAAGACACCAAATGTAGGTTGATAATTCCATTTCCCCCAATTTTTTCATTTTTTCATTCCATTGAATCAATATCATTTCTATGTTAAACAAAACCACCAAAACTTTCCTAATTTCTTTTAACGGATCTATTCATGATTATTCAATGACTTTTAATTAGCTTATTTCTAATATCAATTGATTTGGTATACATAAGGATGAACCGATTCTGAGTCAGATTTAAACTGATTTCGAACTCTTCCACAATAGATTAGGTTAAATCACCATATAAAAAACCCTATCTTGAAGCTTCACATATGAACAATTTCAAATTAACATATAAATCTACAGAATTAAAATTCGTTAGGGTTTATTACCTGTGATTAATTAGAAGCCTGATCGACGAGCTTCTTGTCCCTTCGTTCCATGGCGACATCCCACAAGTCGTTACCGATGTGCTTTGGTCGTCCGTGAGCAGCTCTGTGGATGTAGTACTGAGCGTTTCCGGCAACACAGAGCATTCCGGCAATGATTCCGAGAGGGAGTACAGCTTCTAACCAATGCAACGCCATTTTTTTCTCTCAATTTCCGAACTTCTTAATCTTGTTCTGGATGAATATAAATACTCTAGCTTAATGGGCCTAAACACTATTGATTCTAGCCCATAACTAGCCCATGTATCCCCACACTCACTTTAACAATAAACAATGCACTATTAATATCTTATCTATTTAGTCTTTAAATTATTAAAATTTATTTAAAAAATGTAAATATTATTTCATTCAACTATTTAATATCTGTATTAAACTCTTGAAAAACTAAATAGTTGAATAATTTTTTTATACATTTTTTAATTAATTGTAATCAAAAATCAAAATATTATTTCATTCAACTATGTAATTAATTTTAATAATTTAAAGTTTAATTTATTAATTCTCTAATTAAAATTAATAAAAAGTTTTTTAAACAATCTTTGAGATGTCACTAGTTAAATTATTAGCTACTTTATAACATGACATTAAGAGTGTAATCAGATTGGTTCAAACCGATTTTTAGTAAAAAAAATTCAAATCGATGATATATCAATCGGTTTGATTTGGTTTGGTTTTTATCATTTTTTAAAAATAGAATTAAATCAAACTAATCGATTTTTGATTTAGTTTAGTTTAGTTGATTGGTTTACAATGTTTTTTCAAACATTATATTCATCCGTGTATTCTCTAATATTGTGTTTTTTGTGTATTTTATGCTATTATGTTTTAAAATAATACATTTTATATAATTTATTTCAAACTCTTATTTTTCAAACAAGTTACAAGTTGTTCTTAATCCATAAGAAATATAGATATGATTTCCATTACATCATTAAATAAGTTCACTATCAAATATAAAAGTTGATACTTAACATCAGAAACTTTGGAAGGATTTAAAACCTTAACAAATAGAACATAACAAAACACACATCAATTAACATTTTCACACCTCAAACACACAACAAAATTATTTTGTAACAGGACTAGAAGGAATATTTCGAAGAAGAAACAAAAAAGATAAAAACTAAATGTGAAAATTAACGAAGAAAACTTGAACACGAAGAGACGGTCTTAACATATCGGAACGACGATATAGAGAGTAACAATTGTGGCGGACAGCAAGAGAATTAGTTCAATGAAAGCAAATATTTGCTACTTTTTATATTTTTGACTTTGGTTCTAGATGCCTATTTTATTGAAATGAATGAAATGTTAACAAAGATGGAGAATGATTGAATTGATACAAAATTTAAACTTAATGATGGGTGAAATAAAAGATTTAGAATATATATATATATATATATATATATATATATATATATATATATATATATATATATATATATATATATATATATATATATATATATATATATATATATATATATATATATATATATATATATATATATATATATATATATATATATATATATATATATATATATATATATATATATATATATATATATATATATATATATATATATATATATATATATTATTCATTTGTTTTATTTCAATTTATTTAATTATTTTATTAATTATTATTATCACTAAAAATATCTTTAAATGAAATTTATTTCATTATTTAAATAACCACTATTAATTGTTTTTTTAAATATTATACACAACTCAAATGTAGTATAAAATGAGACGAATAGAGTAGTAAATATATGTGTGTAAATACCTATAAATTATGATCAATAATGTTCAAATTAATTGTTAATTTAAATTTAATAGATAGTGATCTTACCGGATCAGACTTGGACCGTCACGACTGGCTCCGAGCTGAAGTTGAACGAGAAGGGGGGGGGGATACCTGCAAGACACTTTGATGCTAAAGTAAGTGGCAGTACGAGCAGGCAAGAAAGTGTGTGTATGGTAAAAGAATGAATACCTGACCCTCTGGGAACAGAGGGTATTTATAGCCCCCAGCGCTGGGCCAAGGTCCCTTCATTGGGTCGCGCAGGTTTGGCCCAATGAAGGAACTGCCAGGTTCTACGTGTGTAGTGGGGACCCGCACGTGGTCTCCTTCCTGGGTGTTCTGCGAGAAGTACGGACGGACGAGGACGCGGTCTTTTCGGAATCCAGGTGATGGCGTAATGGTCATAGTCTGCCCTACGAGGGGCGCTCGAGCTGAGGTCGAGCTGGACTATATGAAGTCGAAGATGTCGTGCTCGCAGATAGTGTCGGGTACGGTTGTAGCCTCTTGGTCGGCGCGACCCCCCTGCAAAGCCATTTGGATTGGGCCTTCATCCTTGCTCTTGGGCCAGCCCGGCCCAGCCCAGAACAGGAGCCCCCAAGTCGTGGTTCCTGGAGTAGGAGTCATGACTTGATCTTAGTTCGCCTCCGTCACGAGGTCCCGTGCTCGGACAAGATATTTAGTTCCCCGTGGTCGCTCGAAGAGTTCCCTCGGTGTCGCGCTCGTGGGATAATTCCTTTCGAGGAGTGCTCGGGGGACTCTCGACGGGTTGTGTTCGTTGAGCACACGAGGCATCCCTTGGGAACCGTGCCGCCACCCTACTGAAGGTAGGGTCATCATTGCCTAGGGGAGCTATGCGTCGAGGAGGGAAGTTCGTGGTTTCCCGGGGTGACGTTTTGTATTCCACGTCATCACTATAAATAGGGTCCTTGGGCCCCAGAATACATTTTTTCTCTTCGCGCTTCTCCTCCTTCCTCTGCCTCTGCTGCTGCTGTTCTTTCCAGATTTTCATAGGACCGTCGTGCTCTCCGCCGCTGATTCTCCTCTCTGCCGTATCTCTTTCCTGATTTCAAGTAAGCGTCTTGTCCCTTTTGTTTTTTTCCTCTGTGGTATATGATATTTTCCAATGTTTTATACGTTAGAGATTGTGCGTCTGGGATTAGCCCCGGTAGATTCGCATTTTCGCTCGGCCAATCTATGTTTATGCCCGGCAAACGCATGTTTGTGCCCGGTAAATACATAGTTTAGGTATGTGATTCTCAGTGCTGCCCGGGATCTTCATGATTCAGGGCGCCTAACTCGTGATAGTGCCTGGTAAATTCATAGTTCTAGTTTCAGGATTTATGATATCGCTCGCCATGTCCATAGCCTAGGTCGACATATTCGTGATTGGCCGGGATGTTGGCCCATTTAGGCAATCTGTAGGAAGACTAGTCGTGGTATCTTGGCATCAGGGAGGCGACTCCACTCTTTTTGTTCGAAACTCCAACTTTTTAATCGTGTGTGGAGTGACTCGGTTTGTCGTGCCCTTCTTCCCGTCAGTTATGGCGAGCGTGTGGATTTGCTCCCCAATTGACCAGTTTCCTGTGCTTTGTAGGTAACAATGGCGGATGAACTGTGTTCCTCGGGGCGCAATGAGGTGGAAGACCAAAGTGCCGAGGAGAATGTGAATTTGGTCGATACCATCGACGGTCCTCTGCTGGAGTGGGTGGGCGCCGAGCCCAGAGGGATTGCTTCTGCCTATAGTCGACGCAGTCGAAGTGCGTATACCATCGTCGAGCAGGGCGGTAGTCAGCCCGGTTTTCAGAAAAACTTCGTTGTCACCAGACCGACTCTTACTGTGCAGATCTGCTCGGAGTTCCCCGAGTACGAGTTTCCCATGTACGAGATCGCTTTTAAGGACCTTGGACTAAAGCTCCCCTTTAGTGATTTTCAGGTCGGGGTCTTTAGTCACTTGGAGCTGGCCCCGTCGCAGCTTCACCCCAACTCGATTGCTTTCATCCGAGCGTTCGAACTGACGTGTCGCTTTCTAAGGATTGGGGCAACCATACCTCTCTTCTTCAGAGTCTTCCATTTACAGCGCCAGTCCCGGGGAGGTAGGCACAGTTGGGTTTCCCTGAAACAGTCGAAGAGACTGTTCAGGATGTATATGGATTTTGTCCGGGGTTTCAAGGACAAATGGTACATCGTGCGGCCGATTACCAAAACGGGTTTAGAGTCTGTATACGAGGAAGAAACGGTGGTGACCCATGATCACGGGGAGGCTCTTCTAGACGAAGAGGGACGCCCAGTGTTGGGGCGTGTGGCCAAATTTCCTTTGTATTGGACCTCGCGTCACTACGAGCACGACACTGGGCACTACCATACGCCCGCGGGTGGGATGAGCACCGACAATGAGGAGGCTTATGGTACCCTCTGCAGATATGTCGATAGTTTCTTCCCTTCCCGGTGGGCCACGAGGGAGGGAAAGGATATTCTCGACGAAGATGGTTATCCGACTTTTGAGGCCCGGCCTATCGATACGAAGGCGCTCGTGGAGTGCCAGTCCTTCGGGCAAGCTGCGAACCTGCTAGGTCATTATTATTTTGTCTTGTTTGAATTTCTTCGCTTGTTATTTGCTCGTCACTAACCCGGGATTCTTTTATGCAGGTCTCATGGCCGGACGAAAGGAGAGGCTCCTGAAGCTGACACAGGATAAGAAAGTCAACAAGAGAGTGGTACGAGCTCCTGAGGCGACGAGGATGGGCCCGCCAACTAGCCCGGGAGATGCTTCTGGAGGGTCCCCGGACGCTCAGGATATCGAGCCACATACCGACCTGATACCGAGGAAGAGGAACCGGGTGGAGAGCCAATCGGAGGTCGGCGAGGACTCTGGTGCGGTGAGGTCCTTCGGGTTGCCCCCCTATTTTAAAGAGGAGGGTTTCTTCGAGGGATTTCCCTTGTCCGTAAGCGCTGACGAAGCTGATACCATTAGGCGACTGAGCAAGGAGAATCAGAGAAAGCATCTGGCCGCCAACATGGTCGGGATGGTCAAAATGGCCGAGATGGCCGTTGTCCTGGCCGAGGAGGGGGCAGACTCTGATCGCATCAAGGAGCTGGAACAGAAGAAGGCTGCTCTTACTGCGAGCTCATGAAAGTTGAAGGCTGCCCTGGAGCGCTCCGAAGAGATGTTCCGCGAGCAAGTCGAGCTGCTGGCCGCGGAGAATGAGAACTCTGGGAAGATTGCCAAGGAGAGGGAGTACTTCCGTGAGGACCGAGAACGCTTGGAAACTGATAACGGGCGCCTCGCCAAAGAGGTCGAGGAACTAAAGGCCGCCATGCTCCCTGCCGAGGA